TCTGTGACCCCGAGGGTCTTGAGTCCACACTGTCCCACGAGGTTTCCACCTCCCGCTTAGCCACTGGAGTGACGTCCCTCAGTGGAACCGACTTCTAAAAGTTCCAATTTTGTGCTCCGCTGCTCTAGCACTTGCCAGAAGCGGCCAACGGAGGCCCCCTCCCCCGCCGTCTATCCTCCCGAATATTGCCTCGGATTCACTTCTCCGCACGTCCTACCTTCCAGTAAGTGGTCGCTTCTCTGTTCAGAGAGTTGTTGCTACTCTCTTCTTCGATCTCCTGTTGAGTTCGTAGGTGTTCAGAATGGTTTGATCCCTATTCAGCTGAATTCCTGAGACCAGACGAAATCCAGGTCTCCCACTCCTCTGCCATCTTGCTCCGCACCCTGTGCCTCAGTTTCTTAAAATGTAAAATGAAACAAGAGTACATTCTTCATAGGATCACTGAGAGGATTAAATGAGAAATATTTAAATGAAGAAAGCACCTTTTTAAAGCACCTTTAAAAAAGATTTATTTATTTATTTATTTGAGAAAGAGAGAGAGAGAGAGCAAGCATGTATGTGCACACAAGCTGGGGGAGAGAGAGAGAATCTTGAGCAGATTCCCCACCAAGCACAGAGCCCAACACAGGGCTTGATCCCAGGAGTCATGAGATCATGACCTGCGCAGAAACCAAGAGTCAGACACTCAACCAACTGAGCCACTCAGGTGCCCCAAAGAAAGCACTTTGACAGTGCCTGGCACAAAGTATTTAGTAAATGTTAGTGGCCATTACATACTTCTTTATATCCAGCTCAAGGCTTAGCATAATGATGTGCCAACGATATTTGTTGGTTTGCTAGAAGTAATAGTATGAATACCAGACTGTAGCCCTGTAACTATAATGCCATTAGTTTATAATTGAAGTAGAAGGAGTCATTGTGGGCTACAGAAGTAAAATGGGTCCTCCTGCAGATACCCAATTTCTTCCATTTTCTCGCTAAGAAAAAAGGGGGGGAACCTGACTGAAGAGAGGGAAGGGGACGTATGAATAGCAGCTATAAAGTGGCACCTAAGGTAATATGATAAACTAAATGTAACTCATTTATATTGGGTATTCTTGTCTCTAGGAGAGTAGCTTAAACTTGACTCAAACCCCCAACTTCTTGACTTGACTAAATCCATGGTGGTCCCCAAGCATTCTGGAACCTCAAGTACCTTTATTCACTGTTCTTCAAACTATATCCATTGTCAGATGACATGTGCATCACCAGTCCTTGAGGAAAACAAAAGGATGGGGGTTTTCCATGGTTAAATAGGTTTAGGAAACATTGATAAACAAAGTTTAACAAGTTTCTCAGGGTTTGTTTTTTTTAAGATTTTATTTATGTATTGGAGAGAGAGAGAGAAAGCGCACACACAAGCAGGGGAAGTGGCAGGCAGAGGGAGAAGGAGGCTCCCTATGGAGCAAGGAGCCTGATACAGGACTCGATCCCAGGATCCTGGGATCATGACTGGAGCCAAAGGCAGACACTTAACCAACTGAGCCACTGAGGCATCCTTCTTAGAGGTTTTTATGCATATACATAGCACTTCCCCCAATGTATTTGACCTTGGAACTCTTTTCTCACAGAAAACCTATCAATATCTTTTATTGCACAGAAGGAAATTGGGGATATGCTACTTTAATTGGAAGGACAAAACTTATTGGCAAAATAACAGGTAATATAAAAAATGCTTACATATTTGAAAAAAAGGAAGAATTAATGTTTTGAATACCAATGAAACGCCAGAAACATAAACAACCAGTTATATAATCCTTTCAGTATCTGCATTATATTTTACCACCAAAATTTTATGGATGCACACTTTAAAACTCAAAGATTAAAACTAAGTCACCCAGCTAGTAAGTGAAGGAGGTAGCTGCTTCCATTGATTAAAGTACTTCTTAAGCACCTAGAATTGCAAACTGGGAGAAAGGAAGGCTGACAAATGAAAGAGAAAGATTACTCCAGGGTATGCATGCACACCTTTCATTTTTCCTTTTCATCATTTCACCCCCCAAATATATTAACTTAAATCCACTGAAAGTAAGAGAGAAAAAGTAGTAAGTCTTAATAATACAAGAAGTACAGAACAAACACAAATTGCTCTAAGAAAAAGCACCAGCTGCCACAGAAAATATTGATTATGTTCTTTTCACATTTTAGGACCAAAATTCCTTTAACCTCCACTGAAAAATTTTCATAGCAGGTCCAGTGAGGTAAATGAATAGTGAGTCTATATTTCAACGGTCCTGGTTTCCTTTGAATATGGAACCAGTAAAATTAAGACAGACACATTTTTTAAACTACACAGGTTAAGAAAAGTACTAAGTTCTGGAATCCACACTGAACATGTTTTCCATATGTATCCTGATAGATATACTCTATACATATGGATAATTAGTTTTGTTGTTCACTGAATATCTTCTAACTATGCCCACCAGATATAACCCAAGAAGTTATTTTTGTAAATTGGATATAGTTTGCTTATTGGATCAAAGGGACTTACACAGATGAATGATTTCCTGAGAGGCCACCACACTATCTTTCTGAAATAAGAACATGCCAAAGAACTTTAACGACCCTGTAGTGCAGATTCCATCCCCAAAGAAAACATAAAAGCTCAAAGGTGTAGGGCCAAAAGCAATGAAATTGCTGGGTTCTGGACACTTTTGCAATACATAGGGACACTGGGGTCAGACAACATTATTTCTCATAAGGAGCACTAATAATGTAATTTGTGGCTTAAAGGAAGGTCATCTGTCGGTGACTATAACCTATTGCTCAGAGGATTTTCCAGAAAGGTGGCCTGGAAACCTTTGACTTATTTTCCATCTCTGAACTTTTATTTCTTTTAAAGATTTTATTTATTCATTTGGGATAGAGAGAGCACAAGCCAGGGGACAGAGGGAGAGGGAGAAGCAGGCTCCCCGCTGAGCAGAGAGCCAGATGCCGGGCTTGATCCCAGGACCCTGGGATCATGACCTGAGCCGAAGGCAGACGCTTAACAGACTGAGCCACACAGGGGCCCCATCTCTGAGCTTTTAAAAAATCGTTTGCCCCCTAGGTATCTTGAAGAAAATGAGACAATGAAACACAGCTTGTAGATTTGAGAGCATTTCCCCACACAGAACACTATCTTACTTGATCCTCACAATAACCTTATAAGTAGATAAGGCAAATACTTCTATACCCATGATTAAGCTGTATAAACTGAGGTTTATAAGTCACAATGAAGCAGGACTCCAGAGATCGACTCCAGCACTCTTAATGTGATAACCTGGGGACTGGACATGCATAAACTGGAAAGCAAAATGGAATTATCACTGAGAACTGCGCCTCAGAAAATCTTTTGGTGTCTTTGCCTACATTTCATGTATATTTTTCCAAGACAAACTTATACCACGTTCGCAAAACACTAATTTTCTGACCAAAAGGTCATGGTCGTGTATCTACAAAGTAGATAACCTTATAAAGTGTTTTCTTTCTGTGGTGAAATAGTCTGAAAACAGCTCCCCCTCGCTGTCGTTTGAAGCATATCTCCGCCAAAGTCAAAACGCAGAGCTCGAGCAGAGTATTTCTGCTTTGCTCTGGACCGGCAGCTGGGCTCTAGCGGTCCAGAATGACAAATTAATAGGTATTTGGTCTCGCTTGCTTCAGAGCATCTCTTCCTGACCGGAGACTGCATCTTTCTCACTCCCGAGCGCAGGGATCTGGCGATTTTTCGCTCCCATGTGCTGGACAGCGCTGCCTGGGTGGCCGCTCTCAGGCAGCTGCTCTTTATCCATCCAAAGAGATGTCCCCACGATTCAGCAGTAACCAGACGAAGTCCCCACGGACTACCGTGGCCCAATTTCCGCCCATCCCCTCTGTGGGAATCAGGCTTTTCCCGGAGGAAACCCCAGGAATCCAGCTCAGAGAAACTAGGCCCCCGCCCCCAACTCCAGAAAACCAGGAGACGCTCCTCTTCCCTGTTGTGGATACACCCGCGGCAGCCAGGGACGGCTTGGGTGGGGGGACGGGGGGGGTCCGGTAGGATAACTGAGTGCGTCCTTCCGGTCCTCAGACGTAGGTCGTAGGCAGGCTAACAAATAGCAGGTATCAAAGATTTATTGAGAAGAGAGCGCCTTTTAAGTCACCCCCAGTTGTTGCCCTGGGGTGCGGAGGGAGAGGAGCGGAGCGGGGAGAGATGAAATTCTCGGAGCCAAGTGGCCTAGGGAATAAAATTAGCCGGGGGTGGCGGGGGGGGCGGGGGGGAGCGGGGGTCGGTTGGCTAGTTGCGGAGGTAGAAACCCCGGCTACAGGGGGCGGGGTCGAGTTCCAAGTTCAGGCGCGCTCGCCCGTGCTCGCGCGGAGGTGGACTCGGGATTTCAAGGTACCGCATTAACTACGTCTGTTGAAGTCAAATGAGGAGTTAAGGGGGGCTTGAGGAAATACTGGTAAGCCCAGAAAAGGCATGGCACGTCCAGTTCTCCAAGTTTTTGTAAGAGAAGCGTGGGAAAGCGCCACCATCCTGACTCTTAAGCCGAGGAATCGGCGAGTCTCCCAGCCCCACCCCTGCAGCAGTGATGCAGAGGACAATTACCGACGTAGAGAGGAGGGGAAAAAAAAAGAAAGAAAGAAACCCCCGGAAAGGGGAGGAGAGAGGCGAGAGAATAGGCACGAAGCAGTTTCCAATCAGTGGGACGAGAGGGAGCGCCTTCTGGGGAAACGAACCCCACATAAATAATTGAGTTTGGAGCCCAGTGCTTTCAGAGGCTCGGAGCGCACCTCCTGAGCGTCTTCCGAGTTGAGAAAAAAACAGAGCAGGGAAAGGGCCCAGCGACGGGATCGAGAGCAGCTCAATTGACGGTGGGACGCTGTGCCTGCAGACGTTCGCAAGAGGGCCAGCAGAGCCCAGCGAGCCCCGAAGGCAAGGAGCCCTCGAGAGCGGAGGTGGAAAGAGAGCCGGCCTCCCGAGGAGGCGCTGCATGGGCAGCATGCGTATCTCCGGAGGCCCCGCCGCAGTGTCCGCGGACAACTCCAGCCAGTGGTGGCCTCTGTCTGCCGGTGGTGCCAACCGCAGCCGGGAAGCGGAGGCGTTCGGGGAAGGCCGCAGCCCACCTGGGGACGTGCGCGACGAGGAGCTGGCCAAGGCGGAGATCGCCGTGCTGGCTGTGACTTTCGTGGTGGCCGTCCTAGGTAACAGCAGTGTGTTGGTGGCGCTGCACCGCACGCCTCGCAAGACGTCCCGCATGCACCTCTTCATCCGTCACCTCAGCCTAGCCGACCTGGCTGTCGCTTTCTTCCAGGTGCTGCCGCAGATGTGCTGGGATATCACCTACCGTTTCCGCGGACCCGATGTACTGTGCCGCGTGGTGAAGCATCTGCAGGTGTTTGGCATGTTCGTATCGCCCTACATGCTGGTGGTCATGACCGCCGACCGCTACATTGCCGTGTGCCACCCGCTGAAGACGCTGCAACAGCCAACGCGCCGCTCGCGCCTCATGATCGCTGCTGCCTGGGTCCTGAGCTTCGTGCTTAGCACGCCGCAGTACTTCGTCTTCTCCATGGTCGAGGTGGACAACGTCACCAAGACCATTGACTGCTGGGCCACCTTCATCCAGCCCTGGGGTCCCCGCGCCTATGTGACTTGGATGACGGGTGGCATCTTCGTGGCGCCCGTGGTCATCCTGGGCACCTGCTACGGCTTCATCTGCTACCACATCTGGCGCAATGTCCGCAGAAAGACGGCTTTGCGCGGGGAGAAGGGCGCGGAGGGCGCGGGTGGCCCCTTGCATAAGGGGTTCCTGCTCGCGCAGTGTATCAGCAGCGTGAAAACCATTTCCCGCGCCAAGATCCGCACCGTGAAGATGACTTTTGTGATCGTGACAGTTTACATCGTTTGCTGGGCGCCCTTCTTCATCCTCCAGATGTGGTCTGTCTGGGATGAAAAACTTGTCTGGGTCGGTAGGTATCCGGAGAAAGGAGGAAAGTGCAGGGATGCGGCTGGTGTATGTGTCGGGGGCGGGGGAGAGGGTGTCTCTTTTCATAATATCCTCTGGGGCAGTAGTTCTTAAACTTCTGCGTGCCTAAGCATGACGCCTTGGGTGAAATTATCAAAAAGGCAGTTTCTGGGGGGGGTGGTGTCTCCGCCCCAGACATTTTGATTCAGTAGATCTAGAAATAGGCCCAGGATTCTCCATTTGTAGCTTGCAATGATCCTAAGACAAATCCAGAAACTGCGCCCTAGAGTCAGCCACGCACGCAACTGCAAAACAGAATAATGACTTTTTGTCACATCACTAACCACTGCACTAATACTCTGCTTTCAAGTCTATTGGATTCAGAGAAATATTTCTATGGCAACAACTGCTTTTTGCTAGTTTGTAAAAAGTTATCACAATTAATACAAAAATTTTGTAGAAATGCCTCAAGGGCAAGCATAAACTGACATATTTTTCTAAAGAAAGATTCTTAAGAAATCAATAATTCTAATTTAGCATTTAGTTTTCCATTTCTTATAATCTTTTAATTTTTTTCTAATAATTACGGTAACATTTTTTTTCTGGTATTTTAAAGCAGGATCACTGATAACCTCTAAATTTGTTAAACTAATGAATTTGTCTTTCAGCACTAACTTAACCACACAGCTGCAGCCTCTGCAGACAACTCTTGGAGTTTACAGAGAATGTCCTCTACGCCTACTAGCTTGTTTGATTTTGATTCCTCCACAAACTGAAAAAACTAACTTCACAAGAAATCCCCCCCAAATTATTTAATATTGGGTCTTGAAAAAAGTATTTCCTTTTAGTAAGAAAAAAAACTTTTTCAAATAAAATATATTACAGGAATGTTACCAACAGCAGCTGTAGTTGGGAGATAGGTATCTGGAAAGAACTGTCTCCTTTTGTTAGTTGGGATTGCAGTAGGGAGTATATGTGCTATACTTGCTTGGTTGTAATACTACTGATAAATAATACAACATAAATGGTATGTTTTGGCTTACCATTTCCTATCTTGCTTGATCTTAGCAGCCTCTTAATTATTGCGAGTCAAATAAAAAACTCAATCTATTGCTTTATCAGGATTTAGACATAATTTTTAAAAACTTTACTACTTGTGCATAGGCATGCTGATGATTTTCATTCTTTTTGAATACAGTCTTAGCCATGGATCATGATCACCTTTAATAGTACCATCTTAGCACAAAGTCTGATTAAATAACCTGCAGTTTATTCCAGTATAGCAAGAGTGAGAAGACCCAGTTTATATTTAATAATCAAGAAAAAGTGCCTGCTGATTATTCTTATCTTTAGAAAAGGTATATTATCAGTGTCATAGTTCTGTGAAAGGTTATAATCTTTATGTAGTTTACCAGTGCAAATTAGCATAAAATATTTCAAAAACTCATTGGAATTTCCTAAGTCAGCTGTTCTAATATAATTTAACTGTTCAAACCGCAAAGATAGTTTTCTTTTAAAACCAAAAGAAACCATAGAAGAAAAGAAAAAAAAACCCAATTCCACAAACAACTAAATAATAATCTTCTAATAAATAATCTAAATAAATAATCTTTCAGGGACCTATTACTACTATGTATAGTTTTATTATGGAATATGTTTAATATTAAAAAATATAAAACTACTAAACATGGTCCATAATGTCATACTTTTGTCTTAGTCGTGAGGATGAATACAATTTTATATATGTAGCTATAGACTTTGGAAATTTCATTGAAATTGCAGCCATTCTGTAAGCGCTGTGTCCATTAGCACATACTAGTGCTAAGATAAAGAATACAAAAATTTTTTAAATAAATTAAATGATGAATCACTATATTCTAATCCTGAAACCCATATTACACTATATGTCAACTAACTAGAAGTTAAATAAAAATTTGGAAAAAAAAGAAAAAATAATAAATTACTTAATATTCTTAGCTTCTTGAAAGTCCCATTCATTCTGCTGAAATATTTTTAAGTGGTTTAAGATATCTGAATTAATCTCAACACATCTTGCCTATGAAAATATTTTACAGCCAAGCAATTTCCATACACTGATAAACAATATACTTCATTTTCTGTATTAACCCATAACTTTTTGCCACTTCTAAGAGTCTGTAGAAAAATGAGTTTATCCGGTGCACAGTAACTTGCATGTGACTGTTTAAATCATCTCCCCCCATGTTTTTTGTACAGAATCGGAAAACCCAGCCGTCACCATCACAGCGCTAATGGCCTCCCTGAATAGTTGCTGCAATCCCTGGATCTACATGTTTTTCAGTGGCCATCTCCTGCAAGACTGTGTCCGGAGTTTCTCATGCTGCCGAAGCATGAAGCAAACATTCAACAAAGAAGATTCTGACAGTGCGAGCAGAAGACAGACTTCTTACACTAACAACCGAAGCCTGACCAACAGTATGGGTACATGGAAGGACTCGCCTAAATTTTCCAAGTCTGTCAAATTCATTCCTGTTTCCACCTGAGCCCACATTCACGCAGCCTGACTCTTGTAACCAACTTTTGGGTCCACTGGCTGAATCCTAGAAATCAGAACAAATGAACTTATAAGTGATAAGTGTAAATCGATGTGTTGAGGACAAGACTGGGTTTCTAGTTGCATTTTCGCATTGCTATGACCACAAGTTATGAATTATTTTATACGGGATGCTAATTAAAAAAAAAATGCTACACTAAAATTTGCAGGCCTAATTCCCAGAAATAGAAGTTACATTTCTAAAGGAAAAACCATAACCACCCTGGCTTTACATTCTGTTGTTGGTTTCCTTTCTTTTCTTTTATTATGGACATAACTAAGGCTTGATTGATTTAGAAGTCATACAATGTCGGGGCATTATTTCTGAACAAAGGGAGCTCATCATCTGTCTTAGTGTTTGAAACAAATTAGAAGAAACTTGAGAGAAATTGTTTCCATCCAATAAAAATGAGTTTATGCATCTGAAAATGCAATCTCACACGATGGCCTGGAGATGGGAAGGTGCCTTGGACAAGCATGAGCACTTGAGGCATATGGACCAGGGGATGCCTGCTTCACAGCAGAAAGAGGAAAGTTCTGTTCAATGCTGTAAATCACCTAAATTTCAAAATGATAACTTTAGAACTGGCATTTCCCTCCTTGTTTTAGGTTCCTCGTGTTTTATGGGTTGTTGAAAGCACAATTACTAAGATGCTGAAGGGTAGAGAAGATATTGTCAAATGGCCAATAAAACCTTTATTCTCCCCCTGCAAGGCCATTTTAAAGTCAGATTTGTATAAGGAATATCCGATTTTATTAGAAGAGTAGAAATGGATTATACAAGGTACTATGTAGACTTTCTCTAGAACATTGTAAATATGTTTTGACCAGTGTTATAAGGTGTCCTGTATTATGCTGGTTCATGTGTGGGGTGTCCAGATTATTACTTCATGTTTGGGGTGTCCAGATTTATAAATAAGAGAATCTTCTAAAGAGTGACTCACATCTGGGTGGCTCAGTCGGTTAAGCGTCTGGCTCTTGGTTTCTGCTGGGGTCATGATCTCGGGGTCCTGAGATCGAGCCCCGTGTGGGGCTCCACACCCAGCAGAGTCTGCTTGTCCCTCTTCCTCGACTACACACCCTCCTTTGCTCTCTTGAATAAATAAATAAATAATCTTTAAAAAAAAAGAGTGACAGGATATAGAAAGTCCCCTCGTGCTTAATTAAAAGTAATTTGGTCTTTCTTTCTAGTCTCCCACCCATCTAACAGTTATATAGCAGAGGAGAGGCATGGTTGGGTGGATGGGGGTGGGAGATTGGGCGGGGGGCGGAACTGTTCTGCACATAGTATGGTTTCCTTTGCTATTAAATGCATGACTTTGACAAATTACTTAAAGACACATAAAGCCTTCATTTCCTTGGCTATACAGTAAGGTTGATAACACCTCATAGGGTTGTTGTGAGAACCAAATGAAATCAAGGGTGTGAAAAGATCTTCATGAACCGACGAGTACTCTATGAATGTACCAGTTGCTTTTATTATAGTCATAGGGTCTTCAGAATCGCACAGCGTTTTCCTGTTTACTTTCCATTAACCAGAATTTGTTGGTTTCATGCCTGGGATATAAAATCCTAAAATTTATATATAGCTCTGCTGATTCATTGGAAAGCATGGCCAGAGGCCACAAAGCCTGACTCCTGCCTAACCAGAGTTTTCCAATTTAAAGATAGAACTTGCTTTCCTTTAAATGCAGGTAAATCAGAGCCAGCCGAGAGCATAGGTTTCTTTTATTTCTAAACAGAGATAAATTACAGCATTACTTGGCTCTTCTGACTGCATTTTTCATTAATGGAACCCAGTGTTGTTGTTGTTGTTGTTTTTTCCGAGCTTTTTTGTCTGGCTCCTTCTCCTTCTTAGAGATCATGCAATTATTTGAGGATACCTCATCAATGTTTTGTATCCCTTAGAGGAAGCAATAACCAACAGCATTATTGTAGTGTTGTGTTTTTTTTAACTTTGTAGATAAGAAGCTGAGGACTGTACAGCCCTGTGAGAACCTAGAAGCTTCGATTTCCCTCCTCTTCATTCGTTTGCCTTTCCAAATTCTCAGGCTCACTACTCCCTGAATGGACATGCCTAAAAAAATTTCTATAAAAAAAGTTTTATAGAAATTAAGCCCGTAGGTTTTAGAACTCTGTTTTTTAAAAATAGCAAATATGTCTCTTAACAGGCACTGTTGTGAGCCACCAATTAAATGAATCCGTTCTTCATTATTTGGGTCATAACAGTAGCTCAGTAACCCTTCCCTTGGGACTCTGTCAGCCCTTGTGACAACTTCTCTTCAACAGTTCAAAACTAAAGTCCTTTTGGTTGGTACGAAGATGAGCCCATCCAGTTCCAAAATAATAACCTCACGTTTTTTGTACAGATTATTTCAAAATGTTGACACATACCTTCAGGCAAAACAATTCCGTTTGAATCTTATTTCCAGGAACATCTCTCAAATAAGATGATAGGCATATCAACCTACCCAGCTGTGTTCCCTCCTTTTAAATGCATCAGGAGACAAGATAACACTAAAGAGTAGGGGGATACACCCGAAGATCCAAGTGCTTGTTCTGCACTAGGCAAGTAGACAGTTTTATTCTCTGTGATTTAGGCTGAGAAGCTTAACTTAGCTAGTTGCTAAACGTCCTTGATGTGATGTACCTGGAAATGGCATTCGTATGTCCCCAAACCATATTCCAAATTGAAAGAGTCCTGCTTATCTCTATCAGAAGAAAGGAAACTGCAGGTGGTAAGGAAGAGTGTGCTAGGAAGGAAAGAGTCCCCTTTCCTGACAGAGGAGAAGACCTGAGATACTATGCCTAGTGAAGGCTTGCAATCAAGGATAAATGTGTTATATCACCTTAGTTAATTTTGTGGAGTTATCTGTGGGAACACCCTGCAAAAATATAATATTACTGTATCTGTGTGGGTATGTAATTAGTAAACAATCCACCGGTAGGGAGAAGCTGGTGGTGTCAGCTACTGGGCATTTGATAAACATTCATTGTTGATGAAAAAGGAACATTTTAAAGTATGTATTAAGGGATTGATGGGTTAATTTGGGACAGTGTTTTTAAAGTGTAAAAATAACTGTGAAGGAAATCAGTGAAATTCTTCAGTTAAATATACACTCGCCCTACAAACAGAATTTCCATCACCATCAAAGGAGTCTCACACCATAAATGAGGGAAGGGTGTGGTTTTTAAAGAGGGAAAAAATGAAGCAGACGTAATGACATCCAGTACCCTCCTAAACTTACTACGGTTCCTAGAATGGACATCAAACACAACTTTAATCTGTTATCACACAAGTAAAGTAACTCAATTAGGTTAAAGTTTGAAGTTTTTGAGACTTGAAAATCTGCCTTTTTATAATGCAATTTCGTCCTCGAAGTTTTAAATTATAGCTTCAGAATTTGAGTCTACCCCTAAGGCATAATTAGAGCCATCGAAGAAGCGGTTCAGCCTAATCCTTCACTCCATATATCAGAGAGTAGGCTCCTTTAAAATCCAGGTAAATTGGGCCCTTATAGGTTTTCATACTGGAGGCAAGAGCTGTATTTAGAGTAAGCCCAGGGCAGAGCCATCTGGAAGGTTCAGAAGCAACCACTGTATCTCTATTATACTGTATTCACCCTTCTTCTTGTGATGATGTAAGATGATAAAACGCCTACGTAATAGATGAAGTGAGGTGAATGGCGTAGGTATTGTCATGTAGCATTAGCCACTACTGACCTGACAATAGGTCCAAAGGACGATCACCTGCTTTCAGACTGTGGTTGATCACAGAAATCGAAACCACAGATGGGACAGATTACTGTAGTTGAATGTTTATAAACACGTGCATTGCTAATTGTTCCAAACTATTCGTGCATATTGAATGTATCTAAAAGGCATTGATAAAGCACTAATTTTGGAATCAGTTTTTTTTTAAAGATTTTATTTATTTATTTGACAGAGAGAGAGACAGTGAGAGAGGGAACACAAGCAGGGGGAGTAGGAGAGGGAGAAGCAGGCTTCCCGCTGAGCAGGGAGCCCTATGTGGGGCTCGATCCCAGGACCCTGGGATCACATGATGCTCAACGACTGAGCCACCCAGGCGCCCCTGGAAGTGGTTTTAAAAATTCTTCTAAATGCTTACAAAATATTCATCTAATCCTCAGAACAATGGTACTAGCTAGAAACTATTATTAACCCCTTCTTAAAGATAAGAAGAGTGAGGCATGGAGAGTAGAAGTTTGTCTACGTTTAAAATCCTCTAGGTAAGATCACGGCCAGGATTGGACCTCAGCAATGAGGCTGCAGAGACTTCACTTGTAGCACTATGCTAGCCTGTCTCTCAACAAACCCTTTCAGTTTCATACTAAATGTTGCAATTAGAGACAGTCATCAAGACCAATGAGAATTCCTCTTATTACCATTGCTGTTTAATGTCATCCTAAAAGTCTTCAAAAAACAATAAAAAACAATATGAACTAGAAACAAAGGCACAAATATCAAGGATACAGGATTACCATAATTTACCTATGATGTAATTATGTAGTATAAAAACCCAAAGTAACCCATTGCAAAGCTACTGAAACTAATAAAAGACAGTAGACAAAAGCAAAGAGCATTTTTTTTTATACCACCAGCGATCGTAGAGACAATATATTGAAAAAATAAATCCCTTCTGGGCACCTGGGTGGCTCAGATGGGTAAGCTTCTGCCTTCAGCTCAGGTCATGATCCCGGGGTCCTGGGATCGAGTCCCGCATCAGGCTCCCTGCTCCTTGGGAGCCTGCTTCTCCCTCTGCCTCTCTCTCTCTCTCTCTGTCTCTCATGAATAAATAAATAAAAAGTTTTTTAAAAAAATAAATAAATCCCTTCATAATAGCAACTATCTGGAAATAAACAACACAAAATGTTGGAACCTCTATAAAATATAAAGTTTTAATGAGATATATAAAATAAAGCTTAAGTCAACAGATGAAATCTATGCTTGAATACGAAGACAATAGAAGATACTGATTTTTCTTTTTTTTTTAAGATTTTATTTATTTGACACAGAGAGAAAACACAAGCTAGGGGAGTGGCAGGCAGGGGGAGAGGGAGAAGCAGGCTTCCTGCTGAGCAGGGAGCCCGATGTGGGACTCGATCCCAGGACCCTGAGATCACGACCTGAGCCGAAGGCAGACGCTTAACTGACTGAGCTACCCAAGCCCCCAGAAGATACTGATTTTTCTTGATGTATAGCTTTAACGCAATTCCAACAACAACAAAAATCACTAATAATATTTTTGAGCCTTATCAAATGTCTGAGTTGACGGGGGCCCACCAAAATGTTAACAGTGCTCACACCTAAGGGATGGAAAAAGTGGAAAAGTAAGGGTGAAAAAGAATATGGATTTGCAGTTTTTCCTATTTGTATTTCAATAATGCTTCCACTTTTTACAACATTATAATTTAAAAATTAACAAAGATACCTCCTATATCCTGACATGTTTTTCAAGGCCAATGGCACAGACATGAACAGAAAAATTGATGAAATACAATAGATTGTCTATAAATAGATTCTACGTCACACTTTGTGTGAGTTTTACATAATAAAGGAAGTCTGAGAAGTTAATAAAGGAGGGAACCATTATTCTAACAAACAGTACTGATACAACTGCTTAGCAATTCTGAACAACAAAAAGTCTATTTAGTTTCTCACTCCATTCCAGACTCTCATATTACATTTGGAAAGGCTAAAGAGTTAAATAGTAGAAGATAACAATTTTGAGCCCTTACCAAAGTTCTGGAGTGAGGAGAATCTTTCAAATCTAAAAATATGACGGGAAAAACCATAAAGTAAAAAATGAATAGATTTGACTATAAGTAGCTTTAAAATTTCTCTTAGTATCTTTAAAAAT